GGGGGGTGGGGGGGTGGGGGGGTGCGGGAACAGAAGGATGGGAGATGGAGATGGGGACAGGTGTGGCCTGGGCAGCCAGCCAGCTCCATTGAGGCCCGGCTTCTTTCCCCCTTACAGGGCTTGTTTTTAATCAGCGCTTTGAGCAAAAGAACAAACTCAAACCGGCGAGGTCAACATGTCCTGGGTGAAGCCTGCATTCACTCCAAGAAGAGTTGGGGGGAGCCGCGGGGGGCTGTGTGACATGGGGGTCCTGCTCCCAAACAGCTGAGCAGCCGACCTGACACAGGGACACCCCCCCAACCGATGGGTGGGGAGGATCCTGGTCATGGCCCCCTAACCCCGGGCCTATCCATCTTAGCCTGACAATATGCACCAAGTTCTCCTCACCCTCTGATGCCCACAGTGAACGCCCAGAGCCCATCACACTCCCTCCTTCCTCAGGTGGCTTCTAAGGGACAGCTCAGTAGGGGGACCTGGTCTGTCTGGGGGCGTCCCTACAATAAGCCTGGCAGGGAGCAGGGTTCATGGGGGGTGGGTCCCTCCTGGGGGCTTCCCTGGAGGAAGAGCCTTGGTGGGACCCAGGACAGGCCTCACGCCCCCCCGCCCCCTCAACTGTGCCATTAGGCCATGAGGAGCTCTTCGAAGGCCAAGTCTCGGGGTCCTCAGGAGCTGGTTCCTGGGTCGGCTGAGATGGTGGCACACGGCCACTTGAGGGGCTTACTGCATGTCAGCTCTCTGCCCTCCGTCATTCAGGGGTCTGCTGCTTGGGCACAGCCTCCCTTCTGCAGCTCTGACACTCCCAAAGCTAACGCGCTCAGGGAACATGAGCAATAGCAGTATGTTTTCATCCTAGACGTCCCTCCGGAATAACACACAGGACCCACAGAGGAAACTGACTTCCCAGGGGCCGTTCCCACTCACTGCCATGGAATGGCCTCCCTACAGGACAGGGTAGACCTGTCCCCTATGAATTTCTGAGACTCTTCATTCCTTACGGGAGTAGAAAGCCTCATCTTTCTCCCACAGAGCGGCTGGTGGTTTCAAACTGCTGGCCCTGCAGTTAGCACTCCAATGTGTAACCCACAACGCCACCAGGGCCCCCTGAGGGGGGTGCAGGGTTTGCACGCAACACGGGCATCGTGCACATGTTATTGGGGTGAATAGACGGTCTGTCCATGGCCACCACCCACCCAGCACTTCCTCTGCTCTGAAAAGACCCCGTGACTGTCAAACCCATCCAAACTCTGGCGGGCCCATCAGCGACACGCAGACGTCTTCAGGGAAGCGGTTGCCAGGCTGCCCTGCTGCAGCACCCCAGGGAAGGTACGAGCTGCCACCCTTCCCATGGGAGCTGAGTGCGAGCCATTTGCACCACCCAGGGGCCTGTCCTCTGCTTAAGCTCACTTGCACCATGTCCTGGAGGGAGGTCATCCATGGGCCCACTTCACAGGGCAAGAAACTGAGGCCCCCGCAGAGGAGGGGCCTGCAAGACAGCTGGCCGGGAAATTGAGGGCGGATTAAGCTGGGCTGTCCAGACGGTGCTTGTGGCCCTAATACTGTATTACTCTGCCCCCCTCCAAGGCAGTGCCCCCTAGTCCCACTCCAGGTGGGAAACCCAGATGGTTCCTGGGGTCCCTCTGCAGACCCCGTGTTCCCTGCTGCCCCTGGGCCGCCTTGAAGTCTAGTGACCACCTAGAACTTTCGGTCAGTGCTGAGCCCAGGCTCAGGCACTTGGGGTGGGCTCCCAGGGGACATGGGGGGGAGAGTGGCCTAGGAGGCTGAGTCTGGCGGGGACAGGGTGTCTGGCTGCACCAGTTTGAGGTGAAGGAAACTTGCACCTCACCTCTGAGCCACCGGCCTGTGAGCACAGAGCATCAGCGAGATGCACAGGAGGGGCTGCCCCCCCCCCAGCGTGAGCAGAACCGGGTGTTTCTGCATGTGCCCACTGTGTGCAGGCAAGCCCCCGAGGGTGCGTAGTCTCAGGCTCTGGGCTCTCTAGCACTTACCCTCCGCTCTCACCACTCCTTCATGGCTCCCCACTGCCCTCCCACAAAGCGCAGCATCCCTCATCACCTGCCCCCCCCATGGCCTGGCCCCTGGCCCCAGCACCCCACTCACCCAGGGGCATAGGGAGCCTTGGCCTCAGCCTTGATGGGGGGCCCGGGCCCCCCCAAGAAGGGCTTAGGAGCAGCGCCCATGCCGTTGTTGTTGTTGCAGTTGAGGGGGCCCCCGAAGCTCGGGGGCGGGAGGGGGCCATGGCGCCCAGGGGAGGGTCCACCCCCGGGGGGGCTCAGGTGGTGCACCCCGCTGGAGCCGGGCATTGCAGGCTGCCCATGGGGGTAGGAGGCAGCGCCGGGAGGAGCAGCGATGTCGGGGAAGCAGCTGCAAAGGAGAGAGCAGGCTGAGCCCAAGCCAGGGCAGCAGCAGGTCAGCCCTCCCGGGATGGTGGCGCGGCACTCACAGGTCGGATGCATCCTCCTTGCTGATGTACTCCTCCAGGATGCTGGTGTCGATGTTAGAAGGCTCCAGGGCGCTGCTGATGTCATGGCCTACGGGGCAGGGGAGGCTGTGAGTGGGGAGCGGGCCATCCCATTGCCTGGAAACCCCTAACCTCAGAGCCCAGCCCTCGGGGCCTCCCCAGCCTCGTCCTCCATGAGTCCTCCATGGGGGAGACGATGGGCCCCTCAGGGTCCATACCTAGTCCCTGTCCAACCCCCCCACCCCTGGCCAAGAGCACAGTGAAGAGTGGCCGTGGAAGGCCCCGGAGCAGAGCTCTGGGCTACACGGGCAGCTGCCCCTGCCCCTCCCAGCAGCGTGACCCCACAAGTTCCTTCTTCCCATCTGTAAAATGGGGTGATGTCCCTGTCATAGGGGTGCTGAGAACACGAGGTGCCTGCCGGAGTCAATCACCCCACTGGGTTGGGGACGGGGGCTTAGCACCAGAGAAAGCACTGCCCTGAGAGGTCACACCCAAAGCATGATGGCAGTCTGGGCCTGCCCTCTCCTGACCCTCCCAGCTGGCCGTGGCCCAGCGCACTCCGGGCAGGAGGTGCTGGCCTTCCCCCTCCCGGGGTCACCTTGCGGGGGGAGCCAGAGGGCGGGGTGATAAGGGGGCTGACGTGGAAGATGCGTCAACCCCGATAGTGAAGGGAGGCCAGGGCGGGCCAGCGTGTCTGACCAGCCCCACAGAGCAGGAAGGGCACCTCCCACAGGCCCCAGGGCCTGACTCCGGGGTCCGAATCTGGAGCACCCCCGTACAAATCGTGACTCCACCTCGCCCACAGCGGTGTGACCTCAGGTCAGTCACACCTCTCTGAACCTCAGTCTCCTCATCCATACAAGGGGCCCAGGCAAGCTAACCCTTCATGGGGCTGCTTTGAGCGGGGAGCAGGATAAGGTAGGTCAAGTGCCAGACTATCCTGGGTGCTCAGCCCTCACCCTGAGCCCCGGGGTCCCTGGGCACCCCTGGTCTCAGCCCCTCCCTGGCCACCGTTGGCATGTCAAGAATGCTGAGCTCTGCTTAGGTGATTAACAAGTCGATAAGCCCTCCTGGGAGTCACAAGCTGCCCCAGACAGGACAGGGCCCTCCTGATGACCCCCCCTCCCACCACCACCACCACCTTCAGCTCACCCACCAAGCAGGTGGCTGTCCACAGCCCTGGGTGGCCAGGGCCAGAGAAGGTTTTCCAGCTGGGTTTGGGGCTGACAGCACGCTCACGTCAAAGGATCCCCCCTCTCTGCTCAGGTCCTGGCCCCATTCTCCCTGGTCACCACCACCACCCAGCTGCCACTGAGTCCACTCTAACCCACGGGTATCAGGATAGAACTGCGATTCAGAGGACTTTCAAATCCGGTGGCGTCATGGTTACGCTTGGGGCTGCTGACCGAGGCCAGCAGCTCAAAACCACCAGTTGCTCTGAGAGAGAAAAGCAGACTTTGTGCTTCAACTCCCATACAGCGTTACCGTCTCAGAAACCCCCAGGGTGGCTGCCAGTCAGCATCGCCTCTGCAGCTGTTGGTGAGTTTGGTGCTGTCAGGGGCTGTTGAGCCTGTGTCTGACTCATGGGGAGCCCGTGCGACGGTGGACCGTGGTCCCAGGGGGGTCTAGGCTGTCCCCCGATGGGAAACGTGCAGAGGTGAAAACTTGACGACAGCCAGTGAGAATGTTCCCGAAGGAGACTGTCAGGCCTTTCTTCCGCGGCACTCTGGGTAGACCCTAATCTCCGGCCCTTCGGTGACCAACTGGGCACATTAATAATTTACACCACTCAGGGTCTCTCCCTTCCTAGTTACCCAGAACCTACTGAGGGATGAGGGGCGAAGGACACGCCTGGTATCGTGGAGGGGCATCGAAAAAGAGGAAGGCGCTGGACAAGACTGAGTACCACAGGGACTGCCCCAGTGGGCTGCACCGTAACAGTGGTGGGGCTGGTGCAGGGCCCAGCGGTGTTTCTGCTGTGCACGGGGTCACTGGGAGTTGCAACAGGCTCCCGACACTGACGGGGAAGGGCCCACACTCCGGAGCACTTCGAGGAAGCTCCCTGCCTCCTGCCGTGTGTCCCTCAATTCCCGTCAAGGGGACAGCGGCCACAGAGGACGTCTGGCTCTACCAGCACTTCTCAACTCGCCAGGGTGGCGGGAACCAGGGGCAGACACGGGACCGAGGCTCACGCTGTATCTACCATGCCTTGCCACTCTCCCCAGGGTGGTGCTGGTCCTGGTCCATCCATTCCTCCCACCCCCAAGGCCTGACCATCCGTTCTATTGCTCAATGAGGCCCTGGCCCGAGGCGTGTGGCGAGGAGGACCACCAGCCTGGGCTGACTGTGCAGCGGGGAGGTGTGGTGAGCGCCTGGCTGCGGTGTCTTCCTGGTCACCCTGAGCTGGGGTGAGGTGTTCCAGAGGGAGGATCATTGGAGGGGCACTGGAGACCCCCGCCCCATCCCTCTGGGCATGGAAACCACACGTTTTTGAGCCTGAACTTGGAATTTGCAGTGATTGATGGGCTGACGCAGTCCTGCCGTTTCTATTTATAACAAGCCCAGCCTCCTCCTCCACCTTCCCGGCCAGGAGCACTCCTAATCTCCCCTAAGACTCCTGCCCACCCCCCACCCTCCCGGGATGGGGCGGCCCAACAGATACATCCTGGGAGCCCCTAACAAGAACCAGATGTGTCTGGGGGAGGAGGGACCCTCCCCTCCCGTGCCAGGGGCCGGGTGGACGGACGAGGGAGGAGGGTGGGGGCGCAGACAACTAGACCAGGGTGGGGATGGGCTGAGGGGTGGGGGAGAGGCTGGGGGCCTGGGGGGCCTCCTGAAGAACCCCGAGTCCACCCCCTCTCCACTCCGCACACAGCTGGCCTCGGGGTCACGTCCAGAAAGAAGTCCTCAGCTGCCCCAAGGGGCCCCCTCAGGATTTTAAGGGAATATTCTGGAAGCACGAGGAAGGAGTGGGCTCACTGGAGCCTGGTAGCCCTGAAGCTGGGGCAGCACGCCAGGAACTCAGGCTGAGGAGGACCCCGGGGTCCACTTGTGGAGTCTCCCCCAGATTGTTTCCAAGAGCCTCCTGGAACAAGGTGGCTGCCCTAATTGGTGGGAGGGGGCGCCTGCCTGACAGGAAGCTAAGCACAAACACTACTCACCTGGACCCTCCACAGACACCCAAGAGCCCCCAGCATATGACATGCCTTGCGGGCACAGGCTGATCGGCCCTGCTCTGCAAAGAGCCTGAAAACCCCAAAGCCAAACCCACAGCATCGAGTGGATTCTGAACCACAGTGCCACTATGGGCGGAACAGGGCCACTCCAGAGCTCTCTCCCCCGGCTGTCCGTCTTGACGGCCGCATGTCTGTCCCGAGGAGGGGCTGCTGGGCTCCCGCTGCTGACCCAAAGCACCCCAGCCTCCACCGGGGCCCCAGCAGCACCTGGCCACGTGGTGAGCCCCAAACCAGGCCAGCCACAACCAAGCTGGCTCTGGCTCCAGACCACCCCAGGGCGTCGTCGCAGGCAAGGCAAAGTTGCCCCCGGCTTTTCTACAGCGGCCTCACCAGAAGCAGGTCACCAGGCCTTTCTCCAGAGGCCCCTCTGCTGTCTGTGAACCGCTGACCCTCTGGATATGGCAGGTGAGCGCTTATTTGCAGGGCCCGAGACCCCTGCAGCACCCAGTCCGCACCCAGAGGATGTGCAGGGCATGGCTGAGTGAAGTGACGGGTGGGGTCAGCCTGCGATTGGGGAGGGCCCACAACTACACGAGGCCCCTCCAGGCACCACCATGGCTGAACTCTGCATTCCAGGGGCTCCTCATTAATTAGATCTTTATTACCTGCTGCTAACAGGAGCCAGACGCTGCCCTTCCCTGGGTGGGCTGGGGTCTGGGCCATGGGAAGGAAGGCCCTCCCGCCCCACCCCTCCCTTCCTCCCTTCCCAGCCACCCTCTGGGCGTGAGGGGAGAGAGGGCACCCAGGCCAGGTGCGGATGAGGACAGACAGGGCCCAGGTGGCCTCTCCACCCTGAACCCCTCCTTGTGCTCATCCCCCCCCACCCCCACCCCACCAGCTGTGGTTGCTGGCTGAGTCTCGGCCATTGTCACAGGGGGACGGGGGAGGGTGGGGACACGGCACAGTGGGAGGCTTGTGCCCTGCCCACCCCCTCCCCTCTACCCCGTCAATGGGGCACTTGTCAATTCATGCCCCAAACATGGCGGAAATCCCGTCGGCCACGTGGCACTGGGTAAGGCCTGAGAATGCTGGCCAGGCCTGGCGGAGCTGAACCCTGGGGTGGATGGCAGCCTCCAAGGACCTCAGCTGCCCTGAGTGTCCAGCCTAAAGATCCGAGTCCAAGGGGTGCCCTAGCCCACAGGAGCTAGGGGCCCAAGTAGGAGTGGCCATCTTAGTGTGCCACAGTGTCCCAAGAGGTCCTTCCTCGGGTCAGAGGACCTGGCTACTAGTGGGGGCCCTGCTTTACCACTTGGCAGCCCCTGGCGTTGGCCTGAACTTCTCCACCAAGTGCTGAGATCCCTGTCATGTCAGGGGTGGCTGGGAACCTAGGTCCCGGGCAAGCTCTGGGTCCCAAGTTCCAACCAACCTCTGGTGGTGTTTCCAGCTCTCTGGGAGCCTCTCTCCTCTTCTCTGCCTCCACACCTTTCCGGGGTCTGGGCCACCCACCCTGCGCCCCTCTCCCTCATTGCCTGCCTGCTCCAGGGACCTCCTCACCATCTCTCAGGGGCCCTGGGGCACAACCAGCACACCACCCCCCAACACACACACCCAGGCCCTGTTCCCGGCAGACAAGCTTTCCGAGAGCTGCCTTTCCTCAGTCTCAGTCACAGGAGGGTCCCCAGAGCCCAAAGCTCTTCCCCCCATGGTGACGGCACCAACCTGCGTGCTCTGAAGGCAGGGCACAGAGGACTGCCACCTCTTCTGTTTGTAGTGCTCTGCCAAAGCAGCACACGCACTGCCATCGGGTCCATGCTGCTGACTCATCGAGACCTCAGGTAGAACTGGCCCCTCACCCCGTGGGTTTCCGAGACGGGTAACTGTCTACGGGAGTAGAAAACCCGGTCTTTTTCCCTCCGCTGGTGGTTTCTAAGTGCTGGCCTTGCCATGAGTAGCCCGATGCTTAACTACTATCTTATATTAATTTATATTAACGTAGGAGCCCTGGTGGCATAGTGGTTACACATTGGGCATCGATCCACATGGTCGGCAGTTCAAAACCACCAGCAGCTCCTCGGGAGACAGACTGGGCTTTCTACTCCTACAGACAGTCTCAGAGTCCCTGGGGGGGCGGCTACGCGTCAGCATTGACTCGCTGGCAGCGAGTTTGGTTTTTCTGGTTTATATTAATATGACCAACAGGCTGGCAGGCTATTCCTGCTCCAGGCTTCCCCTTGTCACCGGGCAGTCTTGCTCAGTCTTTGTTTGGCGGTTCCTCCTCAGCCAGCCGGGCCCAGAGGACAGGAAGCCCGAGTCACAGCCACCAGGTTCCTAAATTGAAGGCACAGTCGATCCCTTCCTCCTTCCTTGACCGCTCACCTCTAGGGGACCCAGCGACTTTGTCCAGCCCTAGGCTTGTGGGTAAGGGGTCCCGGTGGTACAGTGATCAAGCACCCAGCGGCTAACAGGCTGGAGTTTGACCTGCCCCCATGAAGCTCGCGCCCCAGGCACTCCCCTGTCCTACAGGGGAGCTATGAGTCGGGACTCACTCAGCAGCCGGACAGCAGGCTTAGGGCTCCGCTCTCAGTCCTCACACAACTGGCTGGTCTTTAGACCAACACAAGGCTGAACACACAGCCCCCAGACCCTCGTGCCAGGCCCGGCAGCACTTTGCCCGCAGCTGTGACCTGCTCTTTTGTGGTGGGGAGCTCCCTGCTCAGACTGCAAGGCCAGAGCTCAGCTCCCACCCGGGGCCCCTGACCTGGACTCTCCAGGTTCAAGAAGCCTCGGAGGTTTGAGGCCACCAGCCGCTCCAAGAGACAAAGCTGTGGCAGTTGCCTTCACAAAGATTTCACAACCTGCTAAGCCTTATGGGCTGTCCTACAGTATCCTGTAGGGTTACAGTGTGACAAATGGGCTCGCTCAGCGGCCTCCTTTTGTTTTGCTTTTTAAATGGGATCCTGTCATCTCCGTCCTCCCTGCTTCTCCCGCAGGAGGTCCCTCCCACAGGTCTCACGCGCAACCGTGGTCCAGTACACGTGTGCACGCACCAGGGCACACCGTGGTCCAGTACACGTGTGCATGCACCAGGGCACACCCCACACGCACGGCTCTCTGACACACATGGATCACGTACCAGCATGCCCTCCACCCTGACACAGCGCTTGACACACCCATGCACACACACGCAGGAGTTCATTCACCAATTGTTTACGGTTTACTGAGCACCTACTATGTGCCAGGCACAGGGCTAAAGCCTGGAGATAAAACCGTAAGCAAAGAGAGGAAAACTGGGCTTGAGTGGAGCTGGCATCTCAGGAGGATGGAGCTGGCAGGATCCCATTAAAAACAACACCAACACCAACATAATACTGATCATGTTAATAATAGGTGAAAAAAAACAAAACCCAAACCATGGCCCCGGAGACCATTGGCCTCACTGTAACCCGAGAGGGCGTGGCAGATGGCCCCATGAGGACCTTAAGGCTGTCCGACCATCTTTAAGGAAGCTGCCATATCTTTCTCCCTCAAATCACCGGCTTTTCCTTAGCCAGGGGAACTACTGAGGAGCCCTGGTGGCTTAGTGGTTAAGCGTCAGGCTGCAAACTGCAAGGTCAGCAGTTCCAAACCACCAGCCGCCAGAGTTACAGCCTTGCAAACTCACAGGGGCAGTCCTGCCCTGTCCTGGAGGGCCACCAGCTCTCCAGCTGACAAGAGAGATCAGAACAACCTACGTCAGGTCCTATGAGAAAACTCTGCAGAGAGAGTCGGCCGGAGGCACCAGGAGGGCCGGGAAGGGTTGTGATTTTCAGTGGGATGGTCTTCATGGAAGGTGTGCCCAGCCCAGACGGGCAGGTGAACCACGCGGGTGTCTGGGGGCCAGTGTTGTAGGCAGTGTGGTGTTGCCCATACAAAGGCCCCTTGGCTGAAGAGTATACAGTCACCCATCGGCACCCTCCCAGGCCTGACCTCAATGCAGGCCCAGGCCGCACACTTCCCCAAGGGAGCAGCTCCCTAGCAGTGGGTGTGGGCCATGAGCCCAGGACACTTCCTCTTCCTCCCTCCAGCCTCTCCCCACACCTGTCTGCTGTCAGCCCATGCCCTTACACCTCCCGCCTCTCCTCCACCCCCAGTCCCTGCCTCCCACCACCACCAGGCAGCTCCTGTCCCCAAGCTAGCAGAGCAGAGGGATGGGGTACCTTAGGCCACAGGAATCCTGGAGCCCAGCCCACAGTCCAGCATAGAAAACTGAGCTGATGAAGAGGAGGGGAAACCCACAGAGGGGGACCTGAGGCAGTGGCCCCACAGGATGGTGGCGAGAGATCCCCGATGCAGCCTGGGGGCGGGGAGGGGGAGGATAGGATGCCCTGTGGCCCCATCCTGCCCCAGCCCAG